TTTCTTTCTTTCTTTCTTTCTTTCTTTCTTTCTTTCTTTCTTTCTTTCTTTCTTTCGCTAAGAGTTGATGACTTGATGGCACGTAACAAATCAATACATACATACATACATACATACATATCCAACAATGAATGACAATTCCTCTTATTCTCAGAGGGCAAGAACTAGCTGCTTAGATTCTTTTACTAAATTCTCTAAATGTATATGACTCAATGCAGTTTCATGACTTGGCTTGTAGTAGAAGAAAGTTCATGTTGCTATTTAACAGGTGGGGAGGAAAATCAAGACTTCTGGGCAGAGAAAAAGTGGACATTGGATTCCTTTGTATATCAACAATGATCGTTTGTGGCAAGTCTCAAACTTCTAATCTTCTGTTTTGTACAGACAGTGTCTCCTAGTTGCAGGAAGGCTGCCATAAGAAATAAAGATGATACACTGAAGCACCATCCTTCAAAAGGCTACCTCTCCAGAGGCAAATTGTCATTTTTTACTATGTTTTGTAAAATTTATCTTCAATTACTATGGTGCTTTGTAGCAACTTTTTGTTACTGATAATTTGTGCAAAATATACAGTAGCTATTCTGAAAGGTTTGTATGCAGTGAGTAGCTATGTGTAGAGGTATGATTAGGCATTAAGATTTGAAACTAGAGGAAATGTGATTTCTTACTCAGATTAAGAATAGAGTGGACTGATATGATTAAGTCACCCATTAAGTGCTCTTCTGACATTTAGCCTACACCAGGAAAAACACCCAAGCTTGGAAAAACAGGATATATTTAGGCAATAGCAATGAAAAATTAATTTGTAAGACTTTTGGAAAATGGAGGTATCAAAATATTCTAAAATGGGATATGACCAAAATCTTGGTTCTGAGGATCACTCTGTTTTTTGAGAACAATCAGAAATATAGATACTTTTCTGTCTGATGTAATAGCTACAAAGAATGATTAAGTCAGTTAGTTGTTCATATCCCATTATAGTAGGGCTAAGGTTTCTGTTCTGTTTCTGTGCTCACCAGAAGTAATGTGGGTCTTAGTTTCAAAGACAGGCCTCTGTGATCACTATTTTTTGATCTGAAATCTTGAGGCCCTTGGAAAGATTGTGTAGAATGATCAACAATTAAGAACGCCAGATTTGGGGCATGAAAATGACTCTATCTTATACAGAAATGATTCTCTGTCTACTTGAAAGGGCATTCAATAGCACTGTAAATATTGTTTAGATACATGTAAAAACACAGATAAATCTCAGTGCACAAGATCATTATATTCACAACGTAAGAGAGATCCACTGTTGATTATTGGGTTTTTCTGTTTCTCTCTGGAGAGAAGAAAACAAATCCCTCAGACACAATGATGGTAGCATGGAAGAAATCTGATAAGTTTTTGAGATAATTCACTAAAGCCCATATTGTTCTAAGCAATCAAAATGAGCTGCAGGTCTCAATTTGATTTAGAGATGCTAGAAGCTCCCCTTCTTTAGGCCTACATAGACTGAATGTACACTTGACAATTTTTGGATCAAAACAACTGGATCAAACTCTCATTTCTCTGATAGTGTGATGGCCTAATATGAGTCTCAGAAGAACAAGAAGATCAGTGGAATGTATACTATAAATACTAATACCATATCCAAACTTGATTGGTATCTGGTAGTTTGAAGTACTGGTTGGTATGACACTGAAGCTTCCCAAGTAGATTAAACAGGTGGAGTCTTACCTCCAAGGGAAAACAGATGATGCCTACTCCTCTGAACACTGAGATAATGTTTGTAGCTAGAAAAAAATTACTCCTGTTGGGAAATCTGGGATCGGTTGTTTCTTCTCTCTGGCTGAAAATGGGTTCTTTGTTCATTAAAAATGGAAAACATATCTAACTGCATTTATCTTCCTTTTAAGAAAGCAAAAGACAGGGCCTTATGAAAGAGTCCCAGAAAAATGGGGGCAAGATAATTCTAGAAATGAAATCCACATTCTAGTACTTGAGCTATGTGCATAAGAACCATTACATTGTGTTGTATTCCAATACTGAAAAACAGGTGATGTGGGAGACTGAGAGTAAAGGTTCCAGATAAGCATCTGTTGATCATTAAGGTGATCTCTGAAAGGTTCTCCTCCTGTATATTGGATAAAGATAGCTTGGTTTTCAGAAACATTTTTTCCTCAGAAGAGTAATATGAACCAGGGGATTCAGTCATATTATCAAAGAACGACTTCTGATACTATGTAGTATTTTTCCTTATTTAAAAAGGAGTAATGAACCTGGTCTATATATGGGAGCAGATCTTCTTTCTTAAACACAAAATCTCAACAGTATTTTTTTTGCAAAAAATTCTGAAAAAAAAGGCAGGGAACAGATGGGAAAGAGGTTTTGCTATGAAGGAACCTCCTGCCCAATCGGAAGAAACTTAGCAAATGAAGCAAAATAAGTGCACTTGTCCAAGATATCCTTTATTTTTTTTCCAGCTAAAATTGCTCTTGATCATAGCTATTCTTTGATTATCATGGCTGCTACAATCATCATCATCAAGGCTCTTAGAATATGGCATCAACTTCAAAGTATTATGCCATGAAAATGATCACTCACTGTAGATGGATTCAGCCTGACTTGTCACTAATAAGCATGGTTCAGCTGAGCAGATTGAGCTCCCCCACCATGACAGCTATTGGGCACATCACTGAGTTAACAGAGCAGTGTTCTGTCAGAATGATATTAGCAGGCAAAGAAAGTAGTGTAAGTTGCTTTTAATTGTATCAATATACTGCTTTTTTGTGAGCAGGTTTGCTGACTCAATTTGCCCACTGGATCCTCAGAAGAAAGGCTTTAAGAAAGAGAAGCAATAGTGTGTCTAAAAATAGGGTAATTTTTAAAAATAAGAAATATAAAAAATATAAAATATAAAAGAAGAAACATAAATGTGGATTTTATAGAGGCTTAAGTGGAACAGAAACTAGAAGAAAGACAAGTCTGTCCTAAATGAAGATAGGAAAAGCTAAAGAGGTTCCTGCTTGGAATTAAACGAAGGAGATATAAATACAACTGTACTTTACTAGGGACGTTTTTAACAAAATTCCTTACTACAGATTACCTAAGAAAGCTTAAGTTAGGTAGACTGGAGAAAAGACCCAAAGTTTGATCGCAACTGTTTACTTAATCTATTAATTCTGGTAACTATTATATCCTGTTTTAACAATACTGCTTTTGCATAGTTCATATATACCTAGGTGTGGGTCAGTCACTCTCTCTCTCTCAGCCCAACCTACTTTACAGGGTTGTTGCTAGTGTGGAAAATATGAGGGAGCACTATGTATGCTTGAGTCTCAAACAAAAATGGTGTGATAGAAATACAGTAAAAAAATCTGTTAACATATTTCCTCTACTTCTGTATTTGAAGTTATTTGCGCTGGAGGAAGTGTTACGAAATTGTCCTGACCACCATATTTTCATATTTTTTAATAATTTTTGTTTATTTTGCGATAGCTTGTATTTTTAAAAATCTCAATAAGAAGAGTAAGAAAGCCTGTTTGGTGTAGTGGTTCAGAAGCCAGGCTAGAAACCAGGAGATCATGAGTTCTAGTCCGGCCCTAGGCATAAAGCCAGCTGGGTGATCATGAGCCAATCACATTCTAGGAAGGAGGCAGTGGCAAACCACTCCTGAAATCTTTCCAAGAAAACTGCAGGGACTTGCCCAGGCAGTTTCCAGGAGTCAACACTGACTCAAAGGCACAAAAAAAAAAAAAAAAAGAATAAAGTTATTCCTTTAAAATGCAATGTAGAATTATTTTATTATTTATTTATTATTTCAATTTTGTAACCATCTGATTCCAAAGTGACTCTGAGTAGCTTACAGATAAAAATTAAAAGAAAATGAAATACCATAATGAAAAAAAGAACACAGCTAACTGGAACCAAAACCCCAAA